CTCCCGCAACACTGCCCTTTTGGCCTGGTTTGATTCATAGGTGCAGAAGGCACAGGGTTCCTCATGGGAGCAGTTAGTTCAGAGCAGGTGGTTCAGTGCATTGAGGATCAAAGAACCCAAAGGTGCGAGGACTCCAACAGCTGCAGGGGCTCTTTGATCTCCCGTCGGAGTTTCTGCTCACCCACACATCACACAGCCCACCTCAGCAGGAATTTGCATAACACCTTTCAGTCTAGTGGTTTACTTCTAGGTAGATGGGAATAGCAACAGCCTGATGGATGGCGGGGGACCCCCGGCAGTTGTGGCTGGCTTTTGGCTCTCCCAAGGTCTGCTCTTAGCCCCTTGTTTCCTGCCTTGTTTACCCCTAATACCCGTCCCCTGCTGACCGCTCGCCTCACACACTGGCCCCTCCAGGGCTGTTGCTTTCCTCCCTGCTCCAGGGAACCACACACAGACCTGACGATGGTTTAACCAGGAGGCTCCAATCTTGCCCCTGGAGTGCCCTCCCTGCATCTGCACCTCACGTAGTCCTCCTGCACCCAAGCACACTGCTAATCTCACTCTCCCCTCTTGGATCATCTTACCTGACTCCAAATTTCAGCCTGTACTTAATGAGTACTTCCTGTACCTCTACTAGGCTTACTGATTTCTTAGGCTTCACTTATAGTAGTTACACAGGATTTGTAATGGTTTTAGTGAAATCAAAGTTATTCTTGTCTCATCTAGCCTGACTGAGAACACCTCTTATTTTGTTTCTTTAGGAGCCTCACTGTGTTGAATACATGGTAGGTGCTCCACACCCCTAGAAGTGAAATCACAATGAATGGTATAAGTTATTTGCTTACAGTGGTGACATGTATTGAAACTGATTCTTTCTAATAATCAAGTAATTGAGCCTAGTTTACCAACCATGCTTCATATTTTGGTGATTATGTGCATATTAACAAACACAGATATCGGTTCAAGATGCCTGTAAACCCTCTCACTACTAGATTATCAATGTTAAAAGACCTCCAAGCTCTGTGCCACTCCATTATAGCATCACTTGAACATCTCAGTACCATGGAGATGGTTTTCCTGTGAACGAGGGGTTTCTTGGAAACACAGGACTTTCAGTGCTAAAACCAGGGGAACTCTGGACAAAGCCTGACAGTCACGCTAGTCATAAACAATGACTTTGTCAGTGGAAGAATTTGGCTATGCTTTTACATTAAGTACTCAGGAATGGATAGCTGTCACTTAGCTGCTAATTTTTTTTTCAGTTACAGACAAAATTTTGCATTTCTCAAAGGCTCCTTGTACAAGTTTTGTTTTTTGTCCTATTTTATTTTTTACACTGGATGTTTAAGAGCATTGTACACCTGAAAGCTGGTAGCAAAAAGGCTTTCAGGAAGCTCAAAAACTAAAAAAAAAAAAAACCTTCTTAACCAACCAAGTCTTATATATAGAATACTAATAGTCATTTGAAAGTCATTATGAAATATCCATTCAGGGTAATAGCTAAAAAAAAAAAAAGAAGAAGACGTGAAACAGCTGGCTCCAGTGAGGATAGTCCACTAAAAGAGATAAAAATATGCCAAGTTTCCCTGGTCATAGTTTCCTGAGCTCAGAAACTTCTACTTTTTTTTTTTGTCCTGCTGAGCTTTCTAGCGTTACTTTGGAACTGAGTTTTTTAGGCCTCCTAGCTAGAAATGCTGTTATCTAGCTAGAATTAACTGTATCTTCTTTCAAAACTTGCAATTATTGACTAGCTTCACTCAGCCCTGCTGGTTGAACCAGAAATCAAAAATACTCCTGCCGGAGCACAGGATCTATTTTCCTGCCTTCTCTTGCCCATCTGCCTTGTCCAAGCAGGGAAGCCCTTGGATTACTTGGAATGAAAACGAGCTATACTTCTAGCACATGACGGTGTCACTTTTCTGAGCTTACCTGCATGAACAGTCATGCAGCTAAATGCAACAAACAAGGCCCTGAAAATTTGTCAAATCCCCCTTATTAAGTTTGTCCAACATCATTCTACCAAGAAATAAATTTACTCTCTGAAATGTACTTCAACAACTTTGCTTCATTAGCTTAAATTACTCTGCATATGTTTGTACATGAACATGCCTTGTTCCCTCAATGCCTTTCTAAATACTGAATTTTGAATTGCAATAAATGTCAGAACTATGAATTGAGTGTTGGCTGCCCACACTTCTAGAAATGAAAAATTCTGGTTTGATTCCTGCTCACACCAACATTATGGTACTCTGACTTCATAGAAGTTTGTGTTTTACATAGTGATTACACAAAGAGGGTTACAGTCGATCATAAGGTTATTTTCAGGCTCAGGTTTTGCTCTGAGCTTGGTGTGACAAATGTGCATAAATAAAGCTAGTTATAGAAGGGCCATACCACAATCAGTTCTTTGATATATTTGCTATAATTGTAAATTTTTAAACTGTGAATATCAGTTCTAACCTTGAATAAACTTGGGGTGTTAGCAATGGCTTTATAGTAGCCTGTAGTTAAGGCTGCTTAACTTAAAAAGAACAGACCTCCTACTTCCCCTTACAATTCTCTTGTAAACACTGTGTGCCACTTGGTAAATTAAATAAAATTTCTGCTACCAATTGCATTCATTCACTACATAAGTATTTATGGAAGCTTTTCTCTAAGCCAGGTGCTCTGCAGCTGCTGGAGAGAAATCATTTTCCCTGTGGCCCATTCTGGTATCAGTGTGATCGGCAAGACAGACTTAACTGATCTGCAAAAGAATGCTCAGTGTATGGAAACCTCACATTATATAAGAAATTATTGCATGTCAGTTATAATTATATCTCAGAAAACTATTACCACTTCCAACTATTTAATGGCTAATACCTTGTTTACTACCATGTTTTGAAGGAGTTTATTCACCCAACACATTTATTGTGTAATTATTTTCTCATTAGCATTTACCAAAACATTAACAAATAATTGCCAATCAGAATACATGGGGTTGATATATTACCAGAGCTCTCCTACCCCAAAAAAGATTTCTTTTTTGTCTTAGGCTGTGTATCATGTTTGTGGTCAGATAATTTACGGTATTTTAAAATACTGAAAATCTCCATAACTGACTTAGTGACCTTTACTGATCTAATCTATTCCTTCATTTATTAATCCCTTCATCTATTAATATAAATGTTTTTCTGTTGACCTCACAGTCTGTAGTTTAACTAGAGCTAGGCAGCCTTTTTTCTGAGCATCTACTTTGGGTGTCACATGAATGGATGTAGTCTCTGCAGGGTAGGAATTGAATCAGAAAAGGAAGCACATTTATGGCCTTCATAAAGACTCAAGGTGCTCTTCTTACTTCACTCAAGTGGTTTTTGAACATGCATGAAGGGTTTGTTGTATTTGATGACTCAGTGTGTTGATTTATGTCCTGACGGTGGTTAGCCTAGCAGTTACTGGGATGGGGTGGGGGCAGCAGTGAGTGCAGCCGGCCAGGCACCCAGGCAGCCCCAGTTTTGCAGACTGGTCGAAGGCCATGCCCTTCCCAAGCCCCCACCTTCCTTCTTCTGCAGCCACATACCAACCAAATCATTCATCTTATTTCCTAAACTGAGATAAAATGCTAAGTTGCACTGGTTTAAAACCACCTGATCCTAACACAGGGATATTGGGGTTCTGTGCAGAGTTAGAAAGCCTGGCTAGGAGAAAAAAGTTCACTCATCACAGATGGCTGAATTCCTATAAATATCTCTTGACTTTTATTAGTCAGAGGATATTTCAAGAAGTTCTTTCAGGAACCTTCAAGAGTAGGTTTGACTCTGCAGAAGAAGAGGGAGGGAGGGAATTCCAGGCCAAGGGCTCAGCATGAAGCAAGGCAGTGAGGCAGAAAGAGCTAGACAGAACGGAAAACCAGGAAGGAGTGACCTTTCTAAAGTAAGAGGTTTGGTGAGGGGGCTACGGGACTCGACCATAGAACATCTTGACTCGCAAGCTGAAGTATAAGTATTTAATCCATAAGCAGGGGCAATGATAAGTATTTTTGCAAAAAGTATTTAACATAAGGAAGATGTTTTCAGCAACGAATCTGATAGAAGTACTACTTTGTGTTAAATACAAAGATATGGGACACTTTAGTGCAAGAGGGAGATTTTAACTGCTCAACTGGGATTTTAAAGTATTTTTTAAAAGAATTGCTCATGTAGATCTTGCTGCATCATCTTTAAAATACTCCTATATGTAACTGAAATTTCAGTTTTGACAATTACGCCAAATTCAGCTTTCAGAGATAGGTATTCTCATTGAGAACTAAAAGATTGCAACCTTTGAAACTAAAAAGCTGGCATAAAGGTCTAGAGGCTCCAAATATTTCAGGTATTATAAGGTTTTACAAGTTTTTCATATGCTAGAGGAAACATAATAATTTGTGTCTCCCAGGATATTCAACCTAAACACTAGATATGTCAGAAAATCGGTATTTCTTACATGTAAGCTGTTACTGTGCTAGAAGTTGTATACATTGTCACTTCTCTTTAAAACTACTATTTCATCTTGTAAAATCAATAATGTCATCACTTGAATACAAGTGGTTAACAGGAAGGCCTCGGAGCAAAACCAATGGGTTAGAATCCAGCTCAGCCACTGAGATGCTGGTCAATCTTAGGTGCTGGAACCTTTTTGTTCCTGAGTTTTCTCACTCATACACGATGATAATTACAGCACTAACATCTCAAGATTGTTAAGAGGAGTAGCTGTAAAAATATGGACTAGTGCCTGCCATGTACTAATAATTCACAAGTGACTAGTAATAATACATAATCGATGAATGTAATATGTCCATCTTATTTTCTTATTATGATTGTTTACTCATTTTTATTTTTATTTTTTAAATTACTGCCTAATAGGAAGCTAGGATCCCATAGGGTTGTGTCTGCTTTCCCTGCTGAGTGGCATTATAAGTCAACATATATAGCATAGCTTGCTCCTAACCACAGTGAAGCTGACCAGTCTCTTACCTTCCACAGTGAGCCATCTGTATGGATTTGGCCTGATGGATGCAGAAGCTATGGTGATGGAGGCAGAGAAATGGACCACTGTTCCCCAGCAGCACGTGTGTGTGGAGAGTACAGACCGACAAATCAAGTAATGTCTGCGGCGAGCGGGCAGCATGGTGGTGTTCTGGAAGAGATTAGGCCGGCACGGGTGCTTGAGATAGCCCTCAGTTACACACAGAAGCCAAAACCTTGTGTAGTTTTATCCTCAAGTAATTACAGAATCCTAATAGAATGAATAATATGCTAAGCTGTTAACACTAATGAACCCAAGGATCCTTAAAAGAAAAGCATATCTTAAAATGGGATTTAAGGGAACCTTTACAGATGGGCATTCTTAAGGTGTCTACACAGTCAATATTTTTATTTGATAGTGCACATATTCTCCAGAAGTTGTTATAGAATGAAACCTATCTTCTGGAAACTTAACTACATACTGTGCAGTTCTCCAATGAGTAGTGCAGAATGCACAGAATGCACAGTACTGCAGAATGTACAGTTTATGCAGAGATTTCTGGGCCTGTTCCCCTGTTTCAGCCATGCAGACTTGGAAGCTATGCTGACAGGTTAACCAAGCGATGGTGGGAAGTCTCTGGTTGGGGCTAAATCTGAAGAATGGGATTCATCGTGCTGATTTTACTAATATTTTGCTGCTGACTTTCTTTGGAGAGAGCTCTCACAAAAATATTTAGGAACTGGTTTGTGATGAAACCAGAACAGAAGAACTTTGTTAGGAAACAGAAACAGATGAAGTTTTGGGTTGTTTTTTTTTCTGTCCATTCTGCTCTTTAGTGGTGAGGAATGAGAGCAAAAACCAGTATTTTTTGAGCACTTATTGTGAGCCAAACTAAGTGCTAGGAACTTCATGCCTGCTTTCTTATTAAAACTTTTTGAAAGTTCCTAACAACTATTCCCATTTGACAAATAAGGAAATGGGACTGTAGGGAATATTTGTTTATTCTTTCAAAAATTCATTTACCAATTCAGCAACTATTTTTCTTGACCTATTACCAAGCACTGAGCTAGATATCAAGGATAAAAAGGGACATAAGAATGCTTCCTGCCCCTGTGGAGCTTACAGTCTAGTGGGTGGCAAACCAAAAAGAATATGGTAATTCGATAATTTCAAATTATAATAAAGAGAATATTGGAAATAAGAAGGGCAGAAAATAAGAAGCAAGGGGCATGGTTTGTCCTATGATTCCATGATGGTCTCAGAGAGTGAAATGTAAGCTCTGACCGTGAAGGAAGAGGAAGTCAGCCACATAAATGGCAGCGAAAAAAGAAGTACTTGAGGCAGAGTCATGGATGCAGCCTCTGAGGTGGGAAATGAATTACCCCAGAACTTGAACTGATGCCAGGGAGGCTGTAGCCCAGTGTTAAAAGGGTGCATTGGCACAGGAGGAAGCTAGTGAAGAAGACGGGAACCTGCAGACAAGGGCAAGTGTGTGTCCATGGGCTGTAGAGCAAGGAAATGGTAGACCAGGGATTTGAACCAAGGTCATGGTCACCCCCGAGCAGCCACTGGACCACGGTACCCTGTATCCATGTTCACAAAGTGTATTCCATTAATCAGCCACACTGTCACCTGGGAACTTGTTGGAAATGCAAATTCTTGGGACCTGGCCCAGCCTTACTATATCAGACACTGGGGTTGGCGTCCAGCAATCTGTTTTTGCAAGGTGATACCCTCCACTACTTGCATGAAGATAAAAGAACCTTAATTCCCCCTTTCCTCTCACTTGCATCTGTCCCAGTATCTAATGAGTGTCAGTCCCTTAAGTGATCCAATCAACTGTGTTGTTTAGTGTCCAGCCCCTAATTGCTTGCATTACATCAAGCAGTCACTCCAGGCCTGCAGGTTCACTCAGCCAAACTCTGCCATGTACTTTACCCAAGCTCCCTCTCTCTCTGTTGCAGGACAATTCGCCCCAACAGTGCTGTGCGTTCCATCTACAAAGCTTCAGGCTGCTCCGATAACCCCAATCATGACGTCAACTACCTGGAGCACGTCGTTGTGCGCATAACCATCACCCACCCCAGGAGGGGAGACCTGGCCATCTACCTGACCTCACCCTCTGGAACCAGGTCCCAGCTCTTGGCCAACAGGTACAGTGATGGCCTCTGCCCACCGGCATGTAGGGTCACACTGATACTCACTATCGTTTAGGGTAGGAAGGGTCAGCTGCTCCTTCCTTACTACCCTAAAATCTCACTAAGGAAGCGCTTATGCGCCACGGTGGAGGTGGGACTGTCGTTATCTCACTGCTCATAAAAAAGCAGAGTATGAAGCTGCCTAGAATCTGTAGGCATGGGACTGTGTAACTATCTAGCAGTTGGGTAAGGTTAAAAGGGCACCGCAGAAAAATTGAAGGCCACCTGTTGTTCTTTATCCAAAAACAGGAACACAGAGCAGTAACTCCTTAGGCCTCTGAGATTCTCCCCCATGCCCTTAAATGTCTGCTGGCATTTTTTACAGATTAACTGAACTCTCTTGCCCAGGCACTTTCCAAAGTTAAAGGAAATTCTGTTTGTTTTAAAACAGGTGTTGGCAATTTTTTTTTCTGCAGAGCCAGTTGGTAAATGTTTTGAGCATTGCAGGCATATTTCTGTCATGACTACTCAACTCTGCCATTGGAGTGTGAAAGCCACTATAGGCGATATATATAAATCGGCATGGCTGTGTTCCAATAAAACTTTATTTACAGAAGCAGGCAGTGGCCAGATTTACCTTGAGGAGTGACTGTAGTTTGCTGACCCCGGTTTAAAGGTTGGCCCTTTGTCTTCTTGCAAGAGGGAACTCCATTCCTCTTCTTAGCCTCTTCCCTTCTCCCACTCCCTCCAAACGTTTCTCCAGCAGGTCATCATATTGCCAGAATCCTGCTGAAAAGCCAGATGGTTCTAGGACGAGTTTTCTTATGCTCCACTGGCTTTTTGAGTGGGTGAGCACGGAGGCAGGAGGTGCTTGTCAACAGGTGGGACCAGAATTGGGAAATGTCTGGTTGTCTCATCTACCTCATTCCCATTGTGGCTGTAAAATTCAAACCATGGCCAGAAGCACAAAAGGTAGTTTAACTTAATTTTTTTCCTCCAAGAAGAACATTTAATGGGAACAACAAACTTCTTATCAATGGCCCATATAGTCCAAATGAAAGCCAACCTTTCGTGTAGACTTAGCCACCAGTCCACATGCCAGATGACTGTGGCAGTAGTATTCTTTGTTAGGACACAGACAGTAGGCCAGAATAATTGAGAAGCCAGGGAGCAGTGTAAGGCTGTAGAACCAAAAGTGACACTGAGCAACTGCCAGTTGCTTTCACAGTCCTCAAACACTGTCTTCCATTATTAGAGCATGGGGAAACCTGGGCTCAGTACTTTGTGAAATGCACTTTTGCCAGAATAAGTATATGCAGGTGCAAAGAGCAGAGGGACACTTTGGCATCAGATCACCGGGCATGCCCTCCCTGTGCTCTCCTCCCTCTGCAGACAGTGGTTCAGCTAATGCCTGCTGGGTAATCGCCGTTACATGCCTGATGCTTCTGTCCAGGCAGCAGAGCCTTCAGATGCACAACTAATTGTTTGGTTGATTAATGGATGTCACACCAGCTGTTTTTACTGAATTCAGGGAAGATTTTTTTCTCTGTTTTGTGTTGTTGTTGTTGTTGTTTTTCCTTTATCATTATTCATCTGCACTGAACTTGTAAGAGTGTCTAGGTGAGACACTGAAGTGCAAAGGCTGGCTTCACACGTGTGTGGTTCTTACCCCTCAAGCTCCCTCAGTTGGAGAAAAACAGTCCATCCACAGTTGCTTTTTACTTGAAAAATCTCAGTCTCCTCAGCCTTGCTGGGCTCTCCTGCATATTTCAGTGTTTCTTACTGGCTTCCCCTGAAATGACGTCAGGGAGGAAGCTTGCACGCAGAGGAGCTAGGGGTTCCATCTCAGGTATCTGGTGGGTCACAGCATCACTGGCAGGAGTCTCGTGTGCATTCCTCAGCAACAGACACCTGCTTGGCTCTCTGCAAAGTGCTGAACCCATGAGTGCTACATGCCTGTGTCAGAGAAAAGAAACAGTCATTCTAGATGCTCGGTGACCGGCAGGCTAGAGGTTTACCTCACTCTCCCCCCACCCTCCCTGCCAAGGCCTCCTGGGGATAAGGGTGACACTGAGTGTGTCTTCTCTGCCTGGAGCAGTTTCCTCAAATGCTGCTCATCTGTGTATCTTCCATCTCAGTACTGAAAATAAGTAGCCACCAAGAAGTGCACATTACTGTAGTGGAAGGGGCTGGAGGCACTGAAAGATGTAAAGGATGTTATTAATTCATTTTGTCTACAGCTCCCCAAAAACCATGGCTCTGAGCAGCTGAGCCCTTAAATATAAAACAGCTGCAGCAGGTCCCAAAACCATGTACGGCCTCCAGGCCTGGCTTCTCTCTCCTTGTTCTGCTGGATGCTTAGTAGTGTCCCTCCTACCAAGGCAGCTAAGGAAAGATGGTTTCTTTTGGCATTTTTCCCTCCTGGCATATTGTGAAGCTTTAGTTTTATGAGAGGAAAAATGTCCTCAAAGCTTCTCACTCTCTGACCTAGTAGCAAGGAACCCTAGTGTCCCCCCTTCACCTTGTCCTTAGTCAGAGCACATGCCCAGTTTTGGGAGCTGAGGGCAAAAAGCACAAAGAGTCGGGAGGCGTGAAGGAAATGCTTGCTTTGTTCCCAGTGTTGTCTTGTTGGCCTGCAAGGCAGTAATGCTTTTCCTCAAGGAAAAGATGAATAGGTCAAGTTTTAGAAGGAATTTGTATGTCAGAGATTATTAACGAGTGCAATAAATAGTTCCCCTGTTGGACACTTATCTTTCTTGCAAAGAAGTCAAGATTTCTGAGGAGGACCACATAAAGCAAAGAACACTGTGTAGTTAAAAGATAGGAATTGTGAGAGGTTTAAAACATAAAGCTTCCCCAGTAGAGGCCACTTGAAATGAAAAGGTCGAGCAGTAGCGCCAAAGCATCGTCCCCATTCCATCTCTCCTGCTTCTCTGAGAAGGGCAACTACTCTTCACGGTGGTTAGTGCGGTGCTGCAGGGAGATCCCACACAGCCCGCGCATCCGAGGTCACTTGGTATCATGTCTACTTTACGATGCAAAACACAGACATGCAGGCAAGAAGCACAAAAGCGAGAAGACCTGAGATGACAACCGCCACCCCTCCCTTATTATCTGGGACAGTTCTCCTTTTCAGTATAGACAAAATATGTGTCCTGGTCTTGGGGCCTGAAAATACTATCCATTAGCACACATTTCCAAAGGAAGCAAGTGGGCGCCACGATCAGCTCTTCCGAAGTCCTCACTCTCCTAGACATTTCAGCAGGGGATTCCTGCAGTAGTGTTTATGCCCTCACGACGCTCTGCTTTGGAAATGGATTCTCTGCAAAGCTGCTCAGCGCTCTGTCTGTGTGGGCCGTCTGGAGCCCCTCAGTGCCGCCCCGCGCCGGCTGCCGGGCACTTGCAGGAACTCCCGTGGAGAACAGCTGTTCCAGGCAGAACAGTTTATCCAGGCATCTGCAGGTGCTGAGCCCTGGCAGGCACTCAGCAGCACGCAGAGCCAGTGGAACTTGAGTGTGCCCCATTAGCCCAGCATGCCAGCACCCCCGTCAGCCAGGTCGATCACTTGTAGGTAGGGGCCCCGAGCAAACAATGCATCCTGTAATAGACAAATGCTGAGTTCCTTCTATTCCCTTTGTTTCTCTTGCCCTCCAATCTCTCTGGCCTCCACACCCTGCCTGACAAAAAGCCAGACTGAAAAATCAGCTCAAATAATTTACTTCAGGGGAGAATGAGATGGTCTGGCATTGGTGGGGGGAATCTCAGGGGTCTTGGGTCTATTCAAATGTTTTTAGATAAGAACTTAAGATGTAAGCTTCTTATACTATCACATATTTAAATTGTGCCTCTCTGAAAAGTTTCAGATGGCTGTCTCCTCAGATTCTTCCTTCACCTGTGTAAGTTAGAATTAGGAAAAGCTGTCCTCCCGTCCTCCCACCGCCACAAATCTCCCGTCTTCCCGACTCATTGAGTTTTAGCTACAGCTTCGCTGCACTGGCTCTCTGTGCCAAAACTTGGCCTCTGCCTGAAAGCTGAAACTTTGCCTCCCTTTCTAAATTTGATTACAGATGACTCTCTCTGCTTCTAATTATGGTCTTAAGTGGAGAGAAGGTACACTTTCTAGCCTGCAAAACCTATAGCGTTCTATAATTATGTTTTAATGTAGTATTTATATTTGAATCATTTTTGTCACTGCCCAAATGTTGAATGACAGACTATTACTGACATTTGTAAAGTGTTATGCTATATAAATGCCTATGTGGCTTGCAGTAAAAATGACACTTTTGCAGTGAATGTTTTACATTCTGGTAAGGTCTGTGACCAGAAGAAACCCCTTCCTTTATTCAAAACATGGTGCACTTCTTTGGAGTTAGACAGAGCGGGGTTTGTCTTGATTTCACCAATTTTTATGTTAGGCTTTGGAAAAGAGATCCTCTCATCTCGAAATAGATGCAATACTGTCTGTTTCATAGGGTTGTTACAAGTATTAAATAAGGTAACATACAGCAAGTCCTTAGCACAGCTCCAAGCATAGTAAGCACTTAGTAAGTGCCAACCCTTATTTACACAGTGCTTCTCAGAGCACCTGGTGAATGACTCTCAAACACAGATGGCTGGGCCTCTCTCCCAAAGAGGCTGATTCTGTAGTTCTGTGGGGCCCGTGAATTTGCATTTCTAATAAACTCCCAGGTGATGCTGAAGCTAACTGTCCACAGACCACACTTTAAATAGTAGTGATTTAAAAGGCCATCCAGCCTTTTCATACACCTTATTGTTATTTTTAGGTCATCAAAGGACAGATGAGCAATCTTCAGCTAGGTGCTATGCAAGTAATTTACAAAGGAGTTTATAATAAAAAACAGATACTTAGATAAAAGCCATCTACTATTAAATGGAATAAATCTTAAAAGAAGATGAAGTGCCTACGTCATGTACCCACAAGAATGCATTTTGGGGTTGATGAATCAGTCAGGAAATAGTATGCATGCTGAAAATTATTTTAAAGCTCATCTTTTTAGATATTCCAAACCTTAGAACCAGTACCTTTCTCTCAAACTCTCTTAAAGAAGTGATTTAGATTAGGAAAGAGAAAATTGTGTATTTTAAATACCGGGTTTCAGAAGCAAATTATTTAAAACGTACAAAAGCCAAACATCTAAAGAAAATCAAAACTCATTTACAGTTGAGCCACATGAGTGCTTCAAGCAGTCTGTAAGCTCCACATTAAATTATCTGAAGCACTGGAAAAAAAATTTTTTTTTTTAAGAGAAAACTTCCAAAAATACTGGCCTAAAGTCATTCTGTAGTGAACATAAATACTGTTTGGGCAGTAGCAAATAATTCTGAAATTGAGTAGCAAATTATTCAGAATAATTATTTTAGTAATAATTGTATGATAACACATACCTGTCAGGACTTATGAAATGTCTTGTTACTTAGTTGCCATAAAATCATAGAAGAAAGTTGTAGCCTTGACACATTGGCTAGACTCTAAGTGAAAGGGGATAAAAGCCTGCAGTAATTCTATGAGTTATTTTATGAGTTAATTCCTCAAAAGGATGTGCTCCAATTGATGGCGGTCTTTCTACCATGCTTCATCCAGAGTAATTCATTTGAAAACAGCTCATTTGAAAACCTGTGGGGCACCATTTTAATAACTATGCATAGTTTGTGCCCCTGCATGTGTGTATCATTTCATTGAGCACAAGATTACGAAGTCAACTTTGACAGAACGGGTTCACGGCAACTGGAGATGTGGATACAGGCAAGGAGTTAATCACCTCAAGTTTTCAGCCCACTAGCCCTGCTTTATTGACATTTTTTCTACAGTAATAATGTTGGCATAGTACAGACATCCAAATTAAGTACTGGACTTTTGTCAGTAAACAGAGACCACACAAACAGAATCTCTTTAGTGGGTGTCCAGTGGTTTGATAGTTGGTTGTCTTGAGCAAGTATGTTCTTTGCAACACAAATCTAATCTACTACAGAACTTACCTCTCTGTTAAGTGCAGATGATGCAGGGTTTTTAAATGTTAATGCTAAAGATAGAGAACAGTTTAAGTACTGAATCTGAATTTTAGAAAAGGAGAAGATGAGATTAGAAAAGTGGATGTCCGGCTAGTGGAAACAACAGTTAGTGTCTACTTCAGCTCTTTTAGCTAAATGCAATGATCCTGTTTGGCTGCATTTTAATTCCTCTCCTTAAGTTTTATGTCCACATGAAATTAATGAGTGTTCCCCAGCTCTGCAAAAAATGGACAGACCAGGGTGGGAAACCGATTTAGCCAGGTAGACAAAGCTCTTGATATTCAGGTTTAAACACTTATTAGAATGCTGACTATGGATATTTCTTCTTGGTTCCCAGTTTATATTTAATTTTTGTTCCATGTATGATTTAAAAGTGATTGGCAGCAATGGAATGATTTTCAGAGGTGGAGATGAAAGGGTTGTAAGGGAAGAAACATAGGGTCCGCTAACCCAGCAGTCAGATAACTGACCCATGAGTAAGTAAACATTGGCTGAGGTTGTGGAAACCAGACTGCCCCTCGTGATGGCAGCCCCAAGTCTCCTTTGTAGTTTTTGGACGTGAGGCCACGAGCCAAATGTTCTGTCCAAACTGTTTGGGAGTTGCTTGTAAGTTTGGCACTCTCAGAAAGGTGTTCTGTGACAAGTTGGTGCTTTAGTGCCCTTGAATGGCACAATGGCCTCAATGAATTAGAGCCTCAATGAGAATTGGGGGCGCAGTGGTTCTAGGCTTGTTTTCCACCTCCATTCATTTCTGTGTCAACATGTTCCTTTAGTAACATCTTTCTGATGGCAGGGGCGGTTTGAAAAGGCTTGTCCTCCCCCACTGCTGTGTCTCCTTTTCACCCAGCATTTCACCTACTTCTGGGTTTTATGGGAAAGACTATATACGGTGTAAGTCATGAACATCATGATCTGGCAGTGTCTTTCTGGCCGAGTCCAGTTCTGAGCCATAAACTTGTGAAACAAGCCCTGTGTGGTAGTGCGTGGATTGTAGGAGTCTATAAAATGTACCATCCTTAATCTATAGAAGATCTTTTACAGTGGGAGGACATTCCTGGAAGGAGTCACTACTTTTCTCCCTGTTATCAGAGGCATGGTCTTCCTGGAATGCCGCCCCTCTGTTCAGCGCTGACTATTAGACATAGTATACAAATATCCCCCCAAAAAAGAAAAGGCCTTCCTGTCCATATAAGGTCTGAAAATCACTGCGCACCATTAACCCTGTTATGGAGATTTGACAAAACATATTTAAATACTCCATGTATCTGAGATGCTCTCCAGAAAGAGATCTGTTCAACCTTAACTCAGCCTTTTCCAAATTTTCTGATCATGGGATACTTTGAGAATGCTGATAAATGTTTTCCATATTTCTTCTTTCAAGGGCTCAGGAACCCATAGCCAGTGATTTTCCTGTTTATTTTCTCTAGGGAAAACTGCCCAGTGTCACTGATTTACCTAATACATTCCACAGTTGTGCCACCCAACCTTTCAGCTTTTGAATGCAGCTGGCATTTAACCTCAAACACACTGATAAAACACTTTTTAAAAAAAAAATCAGATCTCTAATATATTTTATAAGGGGATTGGTCTAGTTATTTTTGTTTTTAGAGGGGCATGTTTCCTCCCAATTGGAAGATATACATAGAAGGTCAGATTATAACCACCAGTTTCATTAGTGAACACAAAATTAAGAGAGTTGACTGCATGTTCTGAATAGCCATCAACATCTAGTTGCTATGACCTTTGCATTTGTTTCCACTGAAGGACAGATACAACCCCATAACTGGACATGATTGGCCCTAACACAATGCTAGAGATATTTTTCCCTTTCTGTTGGTCTCCTGGCTCTCAGTTTTTTTTCTCAATTTATTATTTTTTCAACAAAAATAATAGATGCACACAATTTTTTTTAATACTTTAAAAAAGTTCTTTATCTCTTGCCTCATCTTTCCATCTTCTAGGTTCCATCTCTATAGAAATCTTTTGGATATTTCTTTGGGTAGTCAAGTCTACATTATATGCCTATATAAATGAAATGCCTCTTTCTTCCCATGCTAGCTTAATACAGTATCTATTGACATTTCTTTATTCTTGATGAGGATTCTGTTTCCTTCTTTTATTTTTTTTCCTATTTTGTAACCTCCAGGATTATACCAACAGGAAACAAGTAATTCTAGCTATTTCAGGCAGGGAGAGATTTTTTCATATAGGGAATTGGGAACTTAAAAAATGACCAGAGGCTGGAAGAGCAGCATCTAGGCTGGAGTTCCAGGTATGACTCCCTGAACCATATAGGATTAGTGAGCAGAGTCTTTTCACTAAGTCATAATTTACATTAAATACATTTCACTTTTTAAATGTGAATGATTTAATGAACTTTGACAAATATATACAGTTGTAGTACAATAAAACAGCTCCATCATTCCCGAAACTTCCACCATGCCCCTTCTTCTGCCCTCCCAGCGCCTGGCAACTACTCATGTGTTTCTGCTTACATGGCCTTTTCTAGAATGACATATAAATTTAATTATACAGTGCATAGTCTTTTGTATTTGACAACTCCTGCTTAGCTTAATGCTTTTGCAATGTGTTGATGTTGTTGCATTTATTCGGTATCTTTTATTACTGGGTAGAATTTCATGGTATGAATGTACCATAATTTGTTTACAATTTATTCAGCAGTTGATGGACACTTGAGCTGTTAACTGTGTTCAGTGATTATGAATAAAGTTGCTGTGAACATTCGTGTGGAGTTTCTGTGTGGACAAAATGTCTGCACTGCCCCTGGGTAAATATCTAGGAGGGAGATTATTGACTTGTATGGTAAAAACTGAAACAGTTTCCCAGAGCAGCTGTACTGTTTTGCATTGCAAGAGAGTTTCAGTTGCTCCACACCTTCAGCACATGGTACTCTCAGTCTTGTGGGTCGAGAATTAGCCTTATTTCCCTGATACCCAGATGGTCATCCCTTCCAGGTTTGCTATTGCATGGCCAGCCCCATGCCTATTTCCCTGTGGTAGGACAATGATACATGTTTGGATCTAGTAATCGGTATTGTCCAGGATGAAGACACATCTCCAGTGTTGAGCTGAATATGCTGATGGATACAAGAAGATCTTTGATCATGGTCTTGACTTGACTCTCACTGGATTTTAAGTAACATACAAAATAATGCTCATGGTTCTCTCTCAGGCTTTTTGATCATTCCATGGAAGGATTTAAAAACTGGGAGTTCATGACCATTCATTGCTGGGGAGAACAAGCTATAGGAGACTGGATCCTTGAAGTTTATGATACTCCATCTCAGCTGAGGAACTTCAAGACTCCAGGTAAGAAATCTCTTTCTATAAGTTTCTGCACAGCTAACTGTGCAGAAAAAAAATGATGGAATATACTTTGGCCAAGGAATGCTTATATATCAACACCATCCTTTTTCATGTTATCCTGTGCATTGAGTTGTCTACATGTATTCCATGTCTCAAGATGACCATTTGAGAGATAATAATTTAAGGATAAGAACTAAGAAATACTTAGATAGAAGTACGGGCTAAAACGTAACAGCTATTTATGTTTCAGAATATATAATGCACATCACTAATGACTTTTCATTGTCCATAAGTGAGCCAGGCTCGTCTACCTGCAGTAGGTTAAATTGCATGGACATAAGAGGGGATAGGTTTCCTTAGTTACCTTTTTTCTGAATTCACTCTAAATTTTCAGTGCAGGAGAGACATTGAGCTTGGCCTGTGCCAGACAAACTGGTCTGCACTAAAGAAAATGATTGATAATATTCTGCCCCTTGTGAGCCCAAGAGTTAAGGAAAAAGAAAGGTTTCTTGATATGTTAAACATGGAAATTATGATGTCAACCAAGATCTTTTTAGGTGGTCTCAGACACTGTTGCTCACATGGTCTGTTTTCCTCTTGTGCCAACATGTGAAGCTTGTTTGTAAGATAATATAAGGGGAAGTGCAAATGCAGCATGGAGTAGGAGATGGAGCAGTTTTTTCTGCAGCAGCTAGTTGTCTGTGACGGAGCCCTGTGTGGTACTTGCTTTGTAACAAATGGTCTGTTTGATAACTCCTCCTGCTTCTACCCAGCCAAGGACACATTTCAATCATCTAATAAATTCATGCTTCTCAATGCTCTGTCCAGTCCATCTGCAGAAGAACCAGGCCTGAGGGCAATTTTAGGACTGACATCCAATTCTAGCCCTCTCCTGGTGGCAGAATAAATTAGCCCAGACATTCTGTAATTAATTATAAGGGTGTGTATCGTACAGATACAGTAGGCTGCATAGACAAAGGAGGCACACAACCCAGGGATGAAGCGTGCACTTGCCAGATTTTTACCCACCAGTCACGGAAGGTTACTCATTCTGAGAGATCCATTTTTGACCACACAGTTTGGCCATCTTTATCCCCAGTTCTGTGATGTAGCTCATCTGTGTTACCACATTGGTACCATACTCTGGGGAGTTTAAACCAGCATGGTGGCGAGGTTGCAATGAATCAGGATAAAAATGTTGTTAAAGAGTAGCTGGGTGCAGCTCACCTCCAGCATGGGCCATGAATATGTTTTCTTCAGAACAAACTTTTATTCAGAAGTCAAATGTTTGTCAACAAGGTGGGGTTGGTAGAAAACAGTCAAGTAAACTAGATCCTGGTTTCTAGACACTTTTAACTGTTGATAATGTACTTAGCTCCCAGGGCCTTCCTCAAATCTCCTTCCCTCCCTTCTTCAGGCCATGCCATTGCACACAGCACAGCGACACCGGCTCATGCACCGAGGGCACTGGTAGCATAGAGATTGGGCTGTGCCACCCGAAACACAGGGCAGCTCCCAGGTGATCCATCAGCAGGTGTTGCGACAGGGCTGTTGTTTTTATCTGAAGCGTAACTGACATACAAAAATAAAATATCCTGTTTGTTTCAAGTATTGCAATAATCCTTAACTACAGGGCTCCTATGCCTCAAGAGATCCCAGAGAAATAAACATTGTCCAAATGTGGCAGTTGTGAACCAAGAGGGATACAGCCTAGGGTACACATAAGGTGTATTATCTGTTGAGACTATAAGATGGTTATAAAATTCACTAAAAGTGACTCTGCTCTTATTATAATCACCATGCATGAACAATTCTAAAGAATGCCAGTGATAAAATGCTCCTCCCACTAATAGCATGCTGTCCCTGGGGGCACACTAATGGTAGACCTGGCATTTGCATGCAGAGGTCGGGGCTGTGAATGTAAATGTCTCTCTGCCCTTGCGTTCAGAGTCTATCTAGAGTTTACTGTGCTGTCTAGTTTTATCTGTGTAAAAGCTCTCTGCAGTAGCCCAGATAATTGAGCGTTCTCTATTGTCTACCTCACAGCATTGGCTTCTTCTCAGTGTTCACATTTAACCCTGGTTTACAGATATTCTTTTACGCCAGAAAAGAGACACCCTAATGCTATTACTAGCCTGGGTTGGGAGGCTTTAATAGAAACACATAGTCTATGAGTATCTTTCCTTCAACCAACCTTTCAGTTCAAGATTAGTGACAACTTTGAAAAGAGACTTTTGCTTTTCTTTGTGCAAGTGTGTTTCTGTCATTATTTCTATGGTGTACAGTTCTATGAGAAGTATCTCTCTAATTAACGAGGGATTTCTTGAATAAGGTACTAAATTCAGTTGGAAATGTAGAATCAATCATCTTGCCCAATTAAATGACAGAATCATTCCCAAGTATAGAGATTTCTGGCTCCAAACTATTTATATTTATTTTTTGTTTTGTCCCATTAGTTTATTATTAAAATAGATATTCAATGATTTTTGAAGGGTTTTTTTATGTTTTGTTTTATTGCACATTACACTTCTCTTGGGCAGAATGCATTTATATGTTAGCAAATAGAACACATTTTTCTCATAGTATTACACAGCTTTTTCCTTTTATATACTTATGACTTTTATTGAAGTATAGTTGATTTATAATCTTATATTGGTTTCAAGTTTACAGCGCACTGGTTCAGCACTTACCCATATTCTTAAATTCTTGCCCCCACTTGTACAATTACTATCTGTCAACATAGGAAGATGGTGCAGAATCACTGGCTATATTATCCATGCTATTCTCCCTTCCCCATGACCAACTTATACTATGATTGAGAATTTTTGTGCCCTTTTATTCACTTCATACTCCCCACCCACTCACCCCAACCCCTTCCCGGTGGTAACCACCAGTCACATTTCAGTGTCTGTGAGTCTACTGCTATTTTGTTCCTTTTGTTTTGTTTTGTTTTATTTTTAGGTTCCACAGATAAGGGAACTCATATGGTATTTGTCTTTTCCCACCTGGCTTATTTCACTTAACATAATGCCCTCTAGGTCCATCTATGGTATTGCAAATGGCAGGTTTTCTTTCCTTTTTACTCACTAAATAATATTCCATTATGTATATATACCACATCTCCAGTCATCTGTTGATGGATACTTTGGTTGCTTCCATATCTTGGCTATTATAAATAATGCAGCAATACACATAGGATTCATGTATCTTTTCTGACTAGGGATTTTCATTTCTTTGAATTCCCAGAAGTGAAATTACTAGGTCATATGGTATTTCTATTTTTTATTTCTTGAGGAATCTCCATACTGCTTTCCCACAGTGGCTGCACCAATTTACATTATTACCAACAGTGTAAGAGGGTTCCCATTTCTCCACATCTTTGCTGACACTTGTTATTTCTTGTCTTTTGGATATTAACCATTCTAACTGGTGTTGAGTGCTATTTAATTGTGGTTTTGATTTGCATTTCCCTGATGATTAGCAATGTGGAGCATCTTTTCATGTGCCTGTTATCCATCTATTTCTTCTTTGGAGAAATGTCTCTTCAGGTCCTCCACCCATTTTTTTAATCAGGTTTTTTTTTTTGGTGTTGAGGTTTATGAGTTCTTCATATATTTTGGATATTACCCCTTGTTGGATAAATCATTTACAAATATATTCTCCCATACTGTAGGTTGCCTTTTTTTTTTCTGTTGATGATGTCCTTTGCTGCTGAGAAGCTTTTTAGTTTGATGTAGTCCCACTTGTTCACTTTTAATTTTGTTTCCCTTGCCCAATGAGATATGTTCAGGAAAAAAATTGTTCATACTTATGTTCAAAAGATATTTGCCTATGTTTCCATCTAAGAGTTTTATGGTTTTGTACTACATTTAGGTCCTTAATCGATTTTGAGTTTACTTTTATATATGGAGTTAGACAGCATTCCAGTTTCATTATCTTTCATGTCTCTGTCCAGTTTTCCCAGCACCAGTTTAAGAGACTGTTTTTTCCTCATTGTATATTCATGGCTCTTTTGTCATATATTAATTGGCCATATATGTGTGGGATTATATCTGGCCTCTATTCTGTTCCATTAATCTATGGGTCTGTTCTTGTGCCAGTACCATACTGTTTTGATTACCATAGCTTTGTAGTATAGCTTGAAGTCAGGGAGAGTAATCCCCCCAGCTTTATTCTTCTTTCTCAGGATGGCTTTGGTTATTCAGGGTCTTTTGTGGTTCCATATGAATTTTAGAGCTATTTGTTCTAGTTCATTTAAAAGTGCCATTAGTATTTTCATAGGGATTGCACTGACTCTGTAAATTGCTTTGGGGAGGATGGCCATTGTGACAATAATAATTTTTCCTATCCATGAGCACGGGATAGATTCCCATTTATTGGTGTCATCTTTAATTTCTCTCAGGAGTGTGCCACAGTGTACAGAGCACAAGTCTTTTACCTCCTTGGTTAGCTTTATTTCTAGGTATTTTATTCTTGATGAATTGTAAATGGAATTGTTTTCTGGATTTCTCTTTCTGCTAGTTTGTTATTAGTATAGAGAAACACAAAATTCTGTGTATTAATTTTATATCCTGCAACTTTGATCAATCCAGTTATTAATTTTGATAGCTTTTTGGTGGCATCTTTAGGGTTTTCTATGTATAATATCATATCATCTGCAAATAGTGACAGTTTAACTTCTTCCTTACCAATTTGGATACCTTTCAATCTTTTTCTTCTTTGATTGCCATGACTGGGACCTCCAGTACTATGTTGAATAAAAGTGGTGAGAGTGAACATCCTTGTCTTGTTCCTGATCTTAGAGAAAAGCTTTCAGATTTTCACTACTAAGTATGATGTTGGCTGTGGGTTTGTCATTTATGGCCTTTATTATGTTGAGGTACGTACCCTCTAAACCTATTTTGTTGAGAGTTTTTATCATGAACAGATGTTGAATTTTCTCAAATGCTTTTTCGGCATCTATTGTGGTGAACATGTGGTTTTTAGCCTTCCTTTTGTTAATG